GAGAAAAGGGGGGAAGGGTGGGGTCAAAATAAAAAATTTAAATTTATAAAATTATAATTTGACCCCAAATGACCTGAATGTGACCTAGAAACCGCCTATTGGACCACCAGTGAAAGAATGTTGAAAGTTCATGTACTTTTGTGAAAGAAATTAAAGTTTATATACCGAAGTGAAATAATAATGAAAGTTCGTATACCATGGGTGAAATTTACCCCCTGTAGAATTGATTTCTTAAGGAAGAAAGACCAAACTAGGACTAAAACATTGAAAATATACCAAAATAGGACTTCCATGTTTTTATTCTCGAAATAGGACTTACATTACCAAACATGGTCATATACATTACCAAAAAAGTATAGTAATTTGTACATGTACACTGCCACATTACCACAATGCAAAGTCACATTACCACAATGCAAAGCCCTATTCCAGGGAAAAAAATATGAAAGTCTTATTTTGGTACTTTTCTCTATGTTTTAGTCCTATTTAGGATGATTTCTAATTTCTTAAGTTTGCAGCAAACGTTTTTTTAAAATATATTCTTTAATGTTGAACAATATGCCATATCCAAGTGCTACACATCTATAGACCAAGTACAGAAGGTCCATCAGAGTTAGGTCTCTCAATGGTCAGGTTTGGATCGGAATACAGTGTTTCATATCCATGTGAGTACGTATATGGTGCAGTCAAGTTATAGCCGTGTAGTACTCATTTTAGAGTAGTACTCATTCTTGCACAAAACATAAATTTTCTTTTTGAAGTAACCTAGTACTTAAAATAACGTTAACTTATTTTAAAATAACATAATATTCATTCTGAAATAATGTAGTGTTTATTTTCACACATTTGTTCAATATAGCTGTAATATTCATTTACGAATAGCGTAATGTTCATTCTCAAACAAAATAGTATTCATTCTCAAATAATTTAGTACTCATTCTTAAGCAACATACTCTTCATAAGTTCAAATCTACAATACTCTTTGTCTTCAAGATATATCATTCTGGTCGTAGGCCTTCTTCCTTCTACGCAGAAGACCCGATCGGAATTAGAGAAGCGTTCGTCGCCAATCAGAATTAGAGCTTCGCCTTCTTTCTTCTACGTAGAAGACTTGATCGGAATTAGAGTAGCGTTCATGGAACTGGAGGAACTATTTTTTCAAACGAATGGAGAATAATTCCAAGACTCAAATAAATGTATAATACAATTATTTTAAGAATCTGGTCTCTTCAACTTATTCTTATTACTAATAACTTATTTTTATTGGAATTACTTCAGATCAGATCAGATATAGCTTTAAATTTAACTACATTCATATCAAATCAAAACTTATTTCATTCAAATAAGAACCAGTCAAATCAGATGAAGAGTTAAATGTATAATAAAAAATTGAAATGATATGTCAATAGGATTCCAAATTTTTATGAAGTCATTTATCATTGATCGAACTATAGCAATAAAATTAACATTAAATGTTTTATTGGCTCATGTAATCTAAAAAGAAACGACTTTCTTTAGAATATACTCATAAATAGAGTAAAAAAAGAGAATTTTAGTGCACCTCATTCGTACACCATCAATTCTCTCCATACATTACATATGCACTTTTTTTTATCGGTCCAAAAGGTGGATTCGCCCACCCCATGCGCCCCCACCCTTTGGCTCGAAAGGAATGGTGGAGAAGGTAAATCATGGTGACTCAGTCGGGCAAGAACGCTAGACCCGTGCCCACCGCGCACAAAGAGCCTCCTCACCCTTTATGGGATTTTTGGATAGCTTCCACACTGTCGCTTGCGGGACTCGATCCCTGGTCATCGGTCCAAGATCTCACGTTCTCGATCAACTGAGCTGCTCATGCGGGCATTAATTGTTTTTTATCGACACTAAAGATTGTATGTTGGAGGGATACAATTGGTGGTGTACCCCTAGCATTTGTTGGTAAAAGATAAAAAAAGGTGATGCTTGAATAGGTGATTAACTAGGTTTAATTTATTGATCCTAAATTCATGACGCTATCACTCTAACTACTACTTCCTCCTCCTATCATCTTTCACTTTCTTGTTTGAATTTCGTGTTTCCATCCCTCAGTCACTCACGATCCATCATCATCATCATCATCATCATCCATTCAGGTGATTATTCTATTTTTAAATCTCATTAATCCCCATTTCATCATCTCTACATTTCTCCAGTTCACGTACACCCTACTTTCCCTAATCATTTTGATTTTCTTTTGTTTTCACGTTGATTCATGCAGTAATTAGTCGGATACGATCCTCAGAGAATGACAAAAAATTGTTACTTTTATTTTTTTTAATGATGTTTTGTTTTCCAAATTGGCATTTTAATTTATGATCTTCTTTTGCATCTCAAATTGGCAATTGCTGTTGAGGGTTCTCTCAATATTTTATTATTAGTACTATCCGAAAACACACAAAAAAAAATCATACTCCCTCCCTCCCATATCTTTCTTGCACATAACGAAGAAAAATCCCAAATTTTTATGATATAGGTTATGAAAAAATGCAAATAAGTAAATGTTCTTGTAAAGTTGGAAAAATGTCATGCGAAGAAAAATATGGGATGAAGGGAGTATTTGCAACGACAATGTATACTTTGATTTGATTGTATATTCATTAAACAAAATCAATAAATGTTCATTCCAAAGGGATGAACACAATCCTTGATTGCTTCTGTCACAAAAAAAATTTCATGAAATTTGTTTAACATTTTCCTTTATATATATTACAAAAGAGCTTGAGATGTTCAGGTCATGAACATTAATTATCTTTTTTGTTTTCCACAAGAGATGGAGAATGTTTTACTTTCCCTCTCTTTATTATAATGTCATTTATATATGGGTGCAGGGTTTAGAAAGAAAGGGCAGCAGGCAATGGGTGGCAGAGTACCCCATGTGGAGCTAGGAGGTCCTTTGTTCTACAAGGAGATTGCCATGGGACTCGCATTAGGTCTTGCTGCGGCCTACGCTTGGAAGGCCAAACATCGGGAAATGCAGAAAAGAACAAAGGCCTTCTATCAGCACCTCGACAGCGGTCACATCTCTGTGGTTGCAGAAGACTGCTAATAAAGTCATCAGCCAGCAAATGGTAATTATTAAAGATTGAAATAAGCAGCAATTGGTTGTGGAGTTGGGTTTTGGTCAAGGTATACAACTGGGCAATAATAGAATAATGTATAACGTGTCACGTTCTTACAAGTTGTGAGACTATATATCTCACGGTGAGACGACTATGTGGCATACCGTTCTTTTTTTTTGTTCAAAAGCAAGTAATACATTTGATCTTAAACTTTCATTCTTAAAACGGGTAAGGCTTTCATTCATACATAAGTACCCACGTTCAAAAGGAATGTGTGTTTTCGGGGGGAGTACGGATTCATTGATTTTTACCCACCCAGATCCCCTTGTGACTCTCATGTGCAAACATGGAACTGTTATTCACTATAGTACAAATGTACAAATGTTGGAGATTCTTCCTATCAGGAAGAAGAAAAAAACATAAAATTAATTATAAGACGACGACTGAAAACAATGACTATGACAATAATGCCCTTAATTAATTACCATCTCATATTAAAAAGGGGGACAAGTTTGAGGACATTGATGTTGTTCACCTGATCTAGAACTCATCATTGCCTGCAGACTCTTGGGAAGGAAAAGCTTCATTGTTGTTGAAACTTTCAAGAATTTCTGATGCAGCATATACTTGTTGACTGAGTTCAGGAGGAAGGGGTTCTTTCAGATGGAGAACCTCAAGAACATACTCTATTCCATTCACCAAATCATAAAGCATAAGGCCAACCCTTCCTCCCACCCAACTACCCAGCTCACTTCCAACAAAGTACCCAACCCTTCCAAAGCTTGCCTCCCCAAGAAAGCCAACATAATAGGTGCCAGACAATGTACCCATGCTCCTTAGGACTGCTTCGGTCATTGTACCCCCCAAGTAGAGTGCTTCGAAAAAATCCCACCCGGAAGAAATGATAGGGGCAATGATTCGATTTGCTTGTCGTTTTGCCAGTTTGGCAGCTTTTGCGCCTTCTATCTGTACACGCTTAGCTGCATCCTTTGCAGGCATGCCTTGAGATATGGCATCAGCAAGAGACGCCATTGCCTCCTCAATTGCTACATTCCTAGCTCTCTCGATGTGTGAGCTTCTAATATTATAAAAGTACAGCTTTACACTCTCCTTGACAACACATGCTAGGGTTCCAGTTCCCCCATCTAAGCAGTTCAAAATGTTAAAATCCCCACTTTTGGATGCCGCCTCTTTGCCAACTACTTCCCTACATTTTTCAGCTACGAAACAAGCAAATAGCACGAAATAATTTCAAAAAAATGGAAATGAACAACATAGGAGTAAAATAAGAGCAAAATAGGGTGCGTGGTTGACACTTGGAACGAACATTTTTTTCCTGTCCTTATCCACCCCCTCCATTTAAAAGCAAATCTTATCCTTGGTGCATGTGAAAGTTTAATTCCAGTAACTCTAATTCCTCAAATACAAGGAAAAGAGTACTTTCCCGAATGCCCAACCATTCCTATCAACATCACTATTTTGAAACCCTTCTCTAATTTGTCTCCACTCCATTCCTCCCTTATTCCTTTCTTCTAACCAAAGCCTAATTGGAGAGCTGATAATCAACATATTTTTTCTTTCTTTGTAGAAAAGTATACTTTCATATGCTAGGTTTTACTATTTACCCAAGAAAAAATAAATACTCTTGACTTTGTTTTTCTTCTCTTGCACCCCAACTCCTTGTTTTTAAAAATATTTCTCACGAAGAGACAATCATGCACACTTAAGGAACTTATATTTTCATTGTGATATTCCTGAGTACAGTGGAGAGTGATGACCCAAAATAAAAACATGGATGAACAAAAACATCACCAAAAAAAAGCCACAACAAAATAATAATTTGAATAATTACAGCAAAAAGGAACCGTAGCTAAAGCTTGAATAACTTCAACAGCAACAACAACAAAAGAACGTGAAACTAATTAAAAACGAACCGGAACTTAAGTTTTCATACAGTACTTCACTCGTCAAAATAAATGGTTTCTGGATAGAGCTTTAATTTATAAGTAGAAACAACAAAAATACAGAGCACATGTGTCCATTGCTAATGGAGCTAAAAAGGTAATTCTTGACAATGTCTTAGCTTTGGTTACACAATGGACTAAATAAGTATGGCACGTTAAACTTTCTTTGCTTCTTAAACAGCTTTAGGCTCCGTTTGGTACACATAATTCAAACTATGGAATTGGAATTGGAGACAACAATTCCAATTATGCTATTTGATAGCACAAAAATATGTGGATTTGGAATCGGTAGTGCCAAAAATGAATTGGAATCGGAGAATTCAATTCCATCCAAATCAATTCAATGGAATTTCAATTTCCAATCCAATTCCAATTCCGTCAATTCCTTGTACCAAACGGACCCTTAAGGAAAAAATTCTAAAAGAAATAAAAAATCATTTGTTGTGTAAAAGATATGGACTGGAGTACTAGTTTAGGCAATCATGTTCAGAATTATATTCATATATACATATAGGCGTTGGGAGATTAAAAAAAACCTAAGCAACAATGACATTTCTAAGGTCAGAATGATGGATAAAAATCTTGATTAAATTGCTTTCATTTCTTGATAAGAGGAATTCACAATGCAATTCGGAAGGGCCTCTACTTAGAGGCACTAAAATTACTAGGCATTCAACCGCTCTTATTCACCAGAAATCCTTAAAGCTGATCTACTCCGAAATCGTACTGCTACACATAAAAGTCATCACAGAAATAACTAAGGCGAGAGCGTTCTCTAAACGAATGAAGTTTAGATCAGCAAACACAGCCCTGAATTTTAAGTTTTTTTTTTCAAATTCGAGGAAATTTAAACGAAATGTTACCGGTGATACTCAGAACGGCGACAACGACGACGGCGATGAAGAACTGAACCCTCTTCTTCTCGATCATTCTTGGCTTCAGTTTACCAAAGAAATCCTAGTTTTCAATTACTGATGGGCAGAGATTTGCTCAACTTGGAGGAAAGAAAAATGCTTTTCCGCTGACCACCGTTCAGACGTTCCACAGAGGCACGGAGTATATTTTCCTTTTAACATACGTAAAGCATTAATTAGAACAACTCGTGTCAGTCGAATTGACAACTGTATATTAATTGAGCCTATCTACGGGCAGCGTTTAGCGTTAGTATTTTTAAAGTAATCTGCACCGTTAAAATTTTATCCAAAATGTTAACGCTAGTCTTTAACGCTATATTCCCAAACATAGCCATTATCTAGTGTCATCGAGTTCGGGTCAATTCAACGGGTTATGACTTTAGTTTTTTAAATTTTTAAATTCAGATTAATACTTACATTTTCTATTAAATAAATTTAAAATATAAAAAAAATGTATTAAATCTATAAAATTATTTTTCTGTAAACTCTGAAGTAATTTTTAGATATATAAATCAATATAAGAAATTTAAAAATGCCTAATTTTTGGAAAAAAGTAAGATAATTATGCAATATCATTAAAATTTTGTCTGAAAATATAAATTTATACACTAAAAACGAGTAGTAAAGTGTATAATTTTGAAAAATTCTTACTTTAGCGGATCGGTCAAGTCAGGTTCGGGTTCGGTCGGGTTTGACCCATTTTTAGCGGGTCATTTCGGGTTTGTTCAACTTCGGGTTCAGTCATCAAAACCTTTGTTCAAAACCCAGTGTTTTCATGTCAGGTTTCGGGTCAAAAAAAGGTCGGGTCATTTTTTTCCAGATCTACGGCAAAGGCATTCCCACATTTCTTACCATAATTATCTAGGGAAATTTAAGCAAATGAGACTAAAACATAACATTTTCCAAAATATGACCAGTTCTATTTACTCTAACGTTTGACAATAAAAACAAGTCTAAAATGCCCTATCTTTTATAAAAAAAATGGTCAATTATACAATTCAAGTAGAATAAGGCATAAAAAATGATTTAAATAGTCATGGAAATAATCAGTCGTTATCCAATACTTGTTGCTAATGACCACAATCGTAGAGTCATTTCTATAATCAGTCATTATCTAATTCTTGTTGCTAATGAGGATATATATGACAGATCATATGGAATTACGTGTCATAAAAGGAATAAAACAAACTTGGTCTTATTCAGAGAACGTACTACCTTTTAGTCCTATATGAAGAATTTTTTTTTAATTATCTATGCTATAATTTTTTTTCATTAAATACTAATTGATGGGTGTATTCTCACCCAGGACCCTAACCAGGTCGAATACTACCAGAACCAACCAGGTGGTTCTTGAAACCTTCATTAAAGAGAAATTGGAGGGAGCCCTGTTCTGACCGATAGGGTCTCAAACCACCCGGGTGAGTTGGCCCACGCATAACTACCGGTCAGGAAACATCCCTTTGAAGAAACTACCCGGGTACGTCATCGTGAATGACATAGATAATAACAGCGATGCATACTTGAAGGGTAGCGATTTGGAAATAATCTGGTGAGACCAGATCCCTTGCACCAAAGGATATATCGACCATCCTAGCTTAATGCTACATGCCAAGAGAGAGAGCTACAGAGCATAACAGTCAAAGAAGGGGTATGAACACTACAAAATAAAGAGCCATCACCTCGTCACGTGAACAGGCATGGGTGCCTGTCACCCTATCCCCTGGGTTCACTATAAATAAGCTTGTAACCCTCAGTAGAAGAGAACTGAATCTCTCTCTAGAGCTTATTGTGTAATTAATTCTTTGTACTCTTCTCATACTTCGTAACAATTGGACTACATATGTTTCCACCTACGGTCCTCCCGGTCAATCTTCATTTCTTGAGAACTTTTAGTATCTAAACTCAGCAAACCCCCTAGACCTGGTCTAGAGTAGTTTGCCCATTTGGTTAATTTACACCATCATTTTTGACTCCATCCGTGGGACCGTTAGAATTTTATTTATTCTGTTTAGAGGGAATTCACCCACGAAACACCACATAACAACCATGCCGGCCAGCAAAATGCAATCACAAACTACGTCTAACGACAGGCCCCCACCGAAGGGATGGCCGTGCGAGCTGTCACCTCCTAGGCTGCTCCCTCTACCGCGGTGATTCCATTGGGTGTCGGCCACATTACGGTTCCCGCCATTGCCGCTCTATGTGTCGGACAGATGGTCTCTTTCCCTAAACCCTCAGCCAGCCCAAAAGTGACCTTCTCATCAAGCATGGCACAATTCATCAACAACCCTGCTAACCAGCAGGCGATCCACGGATTTGGCAAGGTGATGGCCATGTGCCAGCATGCAGAAGAAATGCCTTTCCTCCCAGGGATGTTCTCTTTTGCGCTACCCAGCGCAGGGCAAGTGCCGATGCAGGTTCCCATGCCTCCCACGCCACCTTTTCTATCACCGATGCCACACCTAGGGGTGGGCATGGGTTAGGACGGTTCATGTTTTATACCATCCCGTGTTTTGTCCTGTTTCTTTCAAATAGTTCGGAACAGTTCGAGCCACAAGCTTATCCCTCTTTGTCCCTTTAATATTTGGGATCAGGATAAAACAGAACGGGTTCAGGTTATCCTACTTTGTCAATATTCGAAATTCAATATAAACATATAAAATACATAAGGGGGAGGCAACCCATTTTGACATGCTATGTAATGAAAAAAGTGTTATGTTTATTTAGAATATTTTAAAAATGCCAAAAAAATAATGAAACATGAAAAAACGTTACAATATACATCAAAAGTCAAAACTATAAGCTTCATAAAAACTATGAGCCACAAATTAGGGTGAGTTGGGTTAGAACCGTGTGGATTTTTAGGTATTTCGTTCTTAGTCAATTTTTTTGGATATTTGAATATACATATTTTTAGATCGATTTTGGGGGAAAAAATTATGATATCTTTGTGGTATATCATTATATAAATAAATTAATAGATATATACATATTTTAAATTTTTTATAGATATATACATATAAACATGATGGAACGGAAAAATATTTATGTGTCCCGATTTTGTCCCATTTTAAAATGGTTCGGAACGGATCTAGGACAAAATTTTATCATCCCTCACAAAACGCAACATTACTGGGACGAGACCAGGATAGTTCGGCTCGGGACAATGGTTTCAAGATTCTTGCCCCTAGCCACACTCATCCCCCTTTCAACCGTAGTGTTAGCCTTGGTTTGCTAAAGCCTTGTGTTTTGATGTAAACAAACAATAAAAGAGCTAACGTTTGTTTAAGTGTTTTAGGTACAAAAAAATCCATTAATATTCGATTCTCAAGAATGAAGTCGAAACACTAAACTAGCGTAGAATATAGGTAAAACCATTGTAAGGATATGATTTTATATACCTATATTCAGAAGATCAAAAGCACTCACAAAATATGTTTAAAACCTTCCTATAATAATTTTCAAACATCCAAAAGGTTTTAAACAAAATTGGAAACGATTTGGACAAAAATGAAAAAAATCATCAAAAATCATTTTCAACCTTAATCTCTTGATTTTCATACACACACTTTTGAGCTTTTGTCTTAGCTATATACTCTGATATTCATAAGTTTATACTGTATTTTTGAGAGAGTGTAATTTTATTCTACACCGGCTAACTCTTGTTCTTCTTTTTTGTATTTAAGCCGTTGTGTAGAACCATTTCTTGTGTTCTTCAAACACACCTTCTTACGGTCGAGAATAGTCGTTAAATTCTCAAGTTGTAATGATCGAGGATAGCTGTATAAATCCTTGAGTAAAGGTTCAAGGATAGCCTTTGAAATCCTTGGGGGAAATGGTCGAGGATCGCCGTGAAATCTTCATTGTAAGCAGTTCGAAATATCCGTTGTAAGATCTCAGAGTGAATCCTATTGGCAAGGGTTGTTTGCCAAAACTAGTACAGTGCTTTGACGGAGTTCAAGAGACCAAGATTTAGTGGATTCGGAAATTCTTGAGGAGGAGCCTCGAGGTACTTAGTAGGGAGTTCCCGAATTAGTATAAGATCAGTGTGCATTTTATTTACGCTTTTATTTCTACGTTTTATATATTGCTTCCGCATTTGCCAACACCATTTTTATTAAACTCCGAAAAGTTTTCAAACGCCTTATTCACACCCCTCCTTTAAGGTTTGGGCACAAAGACTAACAAGTGGTATCGGAGCAGTTTCGTAGTTAAAAGTGCTTAACCGCATCTACGACAAAGGTCTACTTGATGTGTCTCTTTTAAATTTGAATTTTTAAAATCTAAAAAGTTTATTATCCCTTATTTTTGAAATTCATTTTTTTTAAAATGGCATTCCCAAAGCATTCACCGCCCTCCGTTTTTCAATGACCAAAATTATTCATATTGGAAAATGGAGATGGAATGCTTTATTCAATTAATTGATTTTGATTTATGGTTGAATGTACTTCACGGGCCATTTCTGCCGAAAAACAGTGATTTTGCAAGACTATCCTCGGAGGACAAGAAAACATTATCCATGAATGCAAAGGCGATGAACATCCTTCATTGCTCTCTCGGCCCCGACGAATTTGCACAAGTATGCTCATGCAAAACGGCCAAGGATGTATGTGACTTGTTACAAGCTACTCATGAAGGTGACGTCTCAACAAAGCAAATGATGATTGCCGTTGGGAACTTGGAATACAAATCCTTCAAGAAAGTGGCATACAAGACGATCCAAGACATGAACAAAAGGTTCAATGAAATTTTCAACAAATTGAATAAGTTGGGTAAGATGTATACTACATGCGAGCTAAATACAGAAATTCTATTTTCTTTACCTAAAGAATGACATAGTAGTATAGTGGATTTGTCACGAGCTTTTATTGAAAAAGATCAAAGAGGAAGAAATGCGTGAAAATCTCAAACTTACCAACGCCTTCAAAGCTTGAAAAGACTCATCAAGTGAAGAGTCAAGTGGGTCAAGTGATGATTCAAGTGACTCAAGCTCCTTGGAAGAGTCAAATGATGAAGAAGATGAAAAGAAGGAAATGAGAACGAAGTATACGGATTTCCTCAAATGGAAAAAGTTTGAGAAGAGGAAAAATGTATACAAATCCGAAGAAAGAACAACATATATAAGCCAATGTAAGTTTTTCTTACTCATTGGGATAAGATTTGTCTTGCTTTTAATTGGTATAAAAAATAAAAACTTATCCCATACGTGCTTCAATTTGTTTTAGCTTTGGCTTGCATGATAAAATAAGGTTTGCATGCTTTTAAAAAAAGTTATCCTAAAAAATCCACAAAAATAAAGTTTTTAAACTTGCATCATTTTAGGGGGAGTTTTTGGTTTAGGGGGAAATTTCATTGTAAATGTACCTTTTACATAATGATCTCCAAACTATCATTTGTCCTAAAAATTCATTTTGATAGGGGGGGGGGGGGGTTTCAAGAAGTTATACATGGTTAAAATTTTCAAAATTCCCTTTTTTATTTTGACAAAAGGGGGAGAAGGTGTATTCTTCAATGTGGTGCATATGCAACATGACTTGAGTGCATTCTTGTGTAACTATTTGCATCAAACTTAAACTTTTAATAAACACAAGAAAATTTCAAAGTGAGTATTTTCAATATGCTTATTCTTAGGGGGGGCTCGCTTGCTTTATTATTTTTACTCCCGCCTAACTCACTTTGAAGTATATTGCGTGTCAACATAAAAAAAAGGGGAGATTGTTAGCCTTGGTTTGCTAAAGCCTCATGTTTCAATGTTAACAAACAATATAAGAGCTAACGTTTGTTTAAGTGCTTTAGGTACAACAAGAATCCATTAAGATTCAATTCTCAAGAATGAAGTCGAAACACTAAACTAGCGTAGAATATAGGTAGAAACCATTGTAAGGATATGATTTTATATACCTATTGTTAGAATAAAAGACCAACGCTAGAGGGGGGTGAATAGCGTTTGATCGTAAAAATCGCAGGAATAAAAAATTTAAAGGAGAAGAAAAGAGAAGAGTAAGAGGCACACCGAATTTACCCTGGTTCACCACAACTTGTGGCTAATCCAGCCTCCCTAGAGACTCTCTCGAGCTACACTACTATCTCGTTAAGCTTAACGGTGCTTAACAAACCCTTACAACTTGAGAATTCGAGTCACACGAACCTCAACGAATCCTTCGAAGGAAACAACCCTTCCTTCGAATCAAACGAGAGAAATACTTTCTCTCAACGTGTCTTAGCACACAAATACACTCAAGAACGAGACTCTCTTTTAGAGTAGATATTGAGTAAACTAAGTACGCTCAAGAACAACTCAAACTTCACACGGATTGACTCTAAAAAGCTATGGAAAAGAATGTTGTTTGAATGCAATGAAAGTAGGAGAGTTGTGAAGTGAATTGATGTGTAAAGCAGACCCAAACACCTCTTTTTATAGTGCCAAAATAGGCTCCAACGGACCAATGCATTAAAGAGGTGATTGACATGATTTATGGGATTGATTAAAATGGATCTGCAGGATATTGGCTTCCCAGCGATGTATGGACCTTACCCATCGCTGGTAAGCCAATTTTCCTTCAGTTTTGAAGCCAACGGTCACCTACCCATCGATGGGTACAAGCTTCTCATCGCTAGGTGGAAGGTTGACTTCCATACAAGGAAAGAATCAACTTTAAATGACTTGCAACGGTCATGCCTAACCAGCGATGGGTATGCCTTCCCATCTATGGGTTCCCATCGATGGGTAAGGTCATTCTGCCTTGTGTTAATGTTGGACCAAAGCTTTAACAACGATGGGTAGAACTTCCCATCGCTGTTTGGCATGGTTCTGGAACTTGGTTGGGCTAAAGGACCGCTTACCCATCGATGGGTAGATCTTCCCATCGCTGGGTGGGTGGTTAGTCAAAAACCCATGGTTTTTGCCTTAACCACGGCCTAGCCAACCGATGCAAAAACCGGCCGAAAAATCCAAAGTTCTCCAAAATATAAACCAAGTGTTTAAAACACTTACTTGATGTATTAGGATAAGAAATCAATTGATACACTTTAAAAACCACGCCATTTGAGTAAAAACCACGGCTAGCCAAGTTTATGTCGTTTTGCGTGGTTTTTGCCAAACGGCCAAAAACGAAAGATTGTTTTCAAGGTGTTTTTGCTGGAGAACTGTTTAAACATGCCAAGGAGTAAAAAACAATCATAAAATTTTGAAAACCACTTAGTTGATTCGGACCCCAAAAACCAACGCCGAAAACTGAATGGCGAACGCCGGTTTCTGAAAGCTGAATGCCAGATGGCTTGGTTTTTGGTTTGGGCGAACACCAAGTGTTTTTGATGTTTTAAACATGTTTAAAAAACATTTTTATGATATGTGAAATGCAACGAAAGAATTTTAGCCTAAAGAGCCAAGGTGTAAAGGTTGGGCCGGTCTTGATCACAATTGTGACCGACTCAACACACTAAGACTGCGGTCTTCGTTCTTGGTCTTCTTTTGGCTCTTGTTCTCATCTTCGTTCTTCGCCTTGAATTTTCAATGACTTGTCTCATTCTCGGCGGTTTGGCATTATCAAAACATGTCATAAAGACGAACACGGCTTTAATACGAAAACTTGACAAACCCGTGTTTCAACACCTATATTCACAAGATCAAAAAGCACTCAAAAAATATGTTTAAAACCTTCCTATAATCTTTTTTAAACATCCAAAATGTTTTAAACAAAATTGGAAACAATTTGGTCAAAACTGAAAAAATCATCAAAACGGTGAGCAGGTACCTAGGTACCGTAAAGGGTACCGTGAGGGGTACTGTGAGTCAATCTGAGAAAGTACTCAAAACCGTTATCCTGGGACCCCCTACCGAAATAGGTACCATAAGAGGACAGCTACCGCCAAAGAGTTTTATCCTGAGAAGGTACCTAGCTACCGTGACAGGGTACCGTAACCGTTAGAGGTACTGTTCCTAATTGCTGAATTTGAATTTAATCAACCCTAATCACCTCCCAACGGCTCGTTAACACCTTCTACTATAAATACCAGCCTAATACTGAAATTCCAGCACTTACAAGCAAATAACCACAGCAGCAAACAAACAATGGCAAAACAGTTATTGAAGGAAGTGTTGCAGCTTTAGAATACGCAAGATGCTACAACACCTTCTTCAACAGTCACACACACAAACAGAATAATAAACACACCAAGACACAAAGATTTGTTTACGCAGTTCGGAGCAGTATCTCCTACATCTGCGAGGCCCACATCCGTGTAATAGCCTTTCCACTAGATCAACGTAAGAATTACACTATCAAACTTCAATAGAACCTTCTAATGAATCTGATCTGTCTACTTACGAGATCTGACAGCAAACTCGGTTTGTGTCTTCACCAGGCCTATTACACCTTCTTCTTGCTCTGCACGAAGGATGTGTTTCTGACCTTTGCTCAGCCCACCAGGTTGCAACAGCTGAACAATATCTAGAGAGGATCCATGACTGATCTTCTCATGCACTTCTCACACAGGTTTCTATTCTGATCGGAATTGTGGTGATCTCACGCTCTCTCCTTGGATATTCAGAGTGTATTTCTGCGTACATCTTTCTTCACGGCTGACTCCCTTTTATAGGGTGTTCATAACCCTAGTGGAGATGATACGAAACTCTTCAGGTGATAAGCTTGAACACCAGACACCCCTAGCAAGTCAGGACTTCTTCCGCAGAATTAACCAAGTCTTGAAGTAGTTCCCCGTAGCCAATCTTGAAGGATGTGTTTCTCTTGACATTGGTCACCTCACGAAACCTTCTTTATAAAGAACACTCGATATACGCAGAGTCCATATTGTATAGAAACTCTACACCATGACTGATAGGATGCTACAGCCCTTATCTTAACATAGACACACTACCAGTTCTACAGAAGGGTTTTGTCAAAAAATAATGCCAACATAAACTATATATCAATGTCAACTAGTTGGAGCTAACAATCTCCCCCTTTGGCAATTTTTTGACAAAAACCTCTATTCAGCCGTTTTTGAACCTCTTCTCCCCCTTTTTTGCATAAAAAATGCCAAAGATATTTTATTGAAAATCACCAAACTTGGGGGAAAAAGAGAAGAGTAATATTCAATACGGTCAAGAATAGGTACATTAAGAGTATAGGAAAGAAAATTCAAAAGAGTTGTACCTACATCAGTCATGCCAGAAAGAGCCAAGTACCCATGAGAAGGGGTAGGCTCGTGTGCTGTCGTTGCTTCACAATGTATGCAGGTAAAATGAGAGCCAAAATAAGTCATAACGAGAGCTTATAAACCATCTTGTCACAGAACACAGATAAGTCTTTAACAAAAACCATGTAATGTCTTCAGCATCATAAAAATAGGGCAGAACAACCCTTTCACAAAAAATGTTTTAGAGCAAAGGTATTATCAATAAGGCAATGTTTACTCCTTTGAACTGGCATTTTTTGATGATTCTTGAGAGGCCCCTGCAGAGTCTGATGAAGAGATCTCTTCTGCACTGTCTTCTTGATCATCGTCATCTGTGTTTGAGTGTGCAGCAGCATTCTTGCATTTAGCCAGTTTCTCCCCCTTACTCTATGCATGCCTTGTTTGCCTCAGGGTGTGTGCAATCTGAATGAGCACATTCATCCTTTCAGTGGATCTTTGAGCAATTTCATGATGATAGTCTGCATCCATTTGGAGGGATTTGATCTCCTTATCAAGAAAACTGAGCTGGTTGTCTACTGAGGCTGGATTTGGTATTGCTGCAGGGGATGCTCCAGCTGTAACCATGTCATTGAAATGCTTGCCTTCAAAGTGTCTGTTATCTGCTTGCAGCAAAGGTGGAACCTGTTCTTCTTCTTCACAGTCTTCTTTAGTGAATCCCTGACTTTTCAGGATATTGTAAATCAGCAGGGGATATGGGAGGCCATTTTGATTTGTCTTGAATTTTGTAGCTGCAAAGGTCATGACCTGATCAAACACTAATTTACCCAAGTCAAAAGGTTTACAATGCTTAAACCTGTAGATGAGGGTTGCCATACAGAGAGGCACTGTGTTTGTGTGGGTAGTTGGAAGCCAGTGATAAGAAGCTATTTTGAGAAGGAGGGCATAAGAACTCTTGAGTACTGAGGAAGGAACTTTTAATTTTCCATGTTGTGAGTTTCTCACACCATTTGTAAGATCATGCCATATGGTGTCTTCATCAATGGGGGAAACCACAGAACAAGAGGTTGTACCCAGAAGTGTGTTGATGACAGTTGGAGAAAAATTATAGAATTTTCCTTTGACAAAGACTTTGTGAAATGAGGGGTCATCATCGGTCATACAAGCATTAGATAAGTTGCAGAAAAATTCTTGAATCACTTTCTTGACATAAGATCCAGGCAAGGTGACAGATTTGAACAAGTTGTTGGACTCAAGAACAGGCAGGAGGTTGGTTTTCTTTTTAAAATCACTTATATCCAAGTTCCTTTGAGGAATGATAAATTTCTTTGCAATATCAGTGAAATGAGATCTAGCAGAAATTGAGATGAAATTGTGCAAAGATGACTTTCCTGAGAGTGTAGCAGGTTCAGCAACCTTTGATGTAGAGGAGCTTCTTGTCTTTCTTGCTCCGCTTGTCTGTGCTTCTCCAGATGGTTTGGCCTTCTTGGTAGGCGTAGTAGCAGCATCCTGTCCTTTCCTTTTCTTTGCCTTTGTAGTGGACACATTCTTCTGTTCCTTCCTTTCTTCTTCAGACTTGTCATCAGGAACTGGTGAGTCTTTTATTTTCTGCAGTGACCATCGGCTTGGTCCAGATAGGTTTTTCTTCCTCTCTTTTCTTCTTTTGCATTTTGAATCTGGATCTTGAAATGGAACGTTTGAACATGCAATTAGGGGTTCTTCTTCAAGTATTTCACCCACAAACTCAGGCTCAGACACCCCCTTTAGTGATTCTTCATCTTCCATAGACATCCCCCTTTTTGATTCTTGGCTAGGGTTCTGAGAACTCTCGTTGTCTGGTAGGGTTGATGGGATGTATTTCAAGAGAGGAACCTCTGTTAATTGAAGAATGGGGTTCTTCAGCACATCCTCTTTAGTAGGGAGTTCATCGGGTGCATGTTCCCTTTCTTCGTTGATGGGTGTATGAGTGCTTGACGATGTGCTAGGCATGGCGAAAAGCTTTGTCCAGGAGGGCTTTTTGAATATCTTCTTCTTCTTCTTTGGTGTACTTTTTCCGGTCCATCTCTGAGGTAGAGCAATCTTCATTCTCACCATGTGTATCTGCTTGGGAGAGGAAGATGGATGATTCAATTTTAAATTTCTGGACAATTCTAAGGCGGAGTGAAAGCTTTTGGAGTTTATTTGATCTGGGACGCAGCCTTTTGAGATCTTGCAGTGCCTCTTCATTTCTTGAGTTAATTTTAGACGCCACTCTTGTGCTCCATGTCCATGCAGTGCATGCCCCCTTTTTGTGCCATATGTCATATTTTCAGCGGATAAGAAAATTGAACACATTAGCTGACATTTTGTGTTCAAAGAAAAATATGTGACATATTAATAAGGTGCACACAGACCCAATTTGGATCTGAGTGTTTCAAATCTGCTTCCATCCAATGCCTTTGTGAAAATATCAGCCAGTTGCTCTTCTGTATCAACATGCTCCAGACTAACAATTTTTCCTTCCACTAATTCTCGTATAAAATGATTCTTAATGTCAATGTGCTTTGTTCGAGAATGTAGCACAGGATTTTTTGACATACTGATTGCACTTGTGTTGTCACAATACAATGGTATTGTCTTCTGTTGGATTCCATAGTCTGATAACACTGACTTCATCCATAACAATTGTGCACAACAACTTCCGGCTGCTATATATTCAGCTTCTGCTGTAGATAATGACACTGAGTTTTGTTTCTTACTTAGCCATGCAAAATCTTGGAGTGAATCTTATTGGCAAGGGTTGTTTGCCAAAACTCGTGCGGTGCTTTGACGGAGTTCAAGAGACCGAGATTTAGTGGATTCGGAAATCCTTGAGGAGGAGCCTCGAGGTACTAGAGTAGGGAGTTTCTAAACTAGTATAAAATCGGTGTGCATTTTATTTACGCTTTTATTTCTATATTTTATATATTGCTTCCGCATTTGCCAACACCGTTTTTATTAAACTTCGAAAAGTTTTCAAACTCCTTATTCACGCCCCCCCTCTAAGGCGTGGGCGTAACAACGAACACGTAGGTGTTCAATGCATTGACTCCGGTCAACTAGGTAGGCGTAATGAACGCGGCCGGGCAGTTACGCTGTCCATAGAGCACGTAGACGGTTATTGTACGTCGATCGAGAGCGGGGATGAAGAGTAGGAGATTCCTCCCGTACACAAGAAGAAGGGAAAGGCACCAAGACCTGTGACATCTAGGGACTCAACCTTTGATACGTTGGGAGAAAAGGAAGAACGCCAGTAGAAATTTGCAAAGTTGAGGTTGGGACCTGACACCACCCATGTCAGTGCATTCGCCTGGTTGGGTGAGGGAAGGGAGGCTAAGCTTGCCCATTCCCAGCGCTCCTAGTCGAACAAGGGGAGCCACCCTAACTGTGTGTTGCGTTGGGAAGAGGAGGCTGAGAGCCAACCGCGTGAGCAAGCGTGAAGCAAGTTGGGGAATCACGCTGACTGGGTCTTATAGGTGGAGGTCAAACTGGAAAGGCTGGAAAGGAAAGTGGGAGAGAAGAACGACAAGGAACTCACCATTCACCACGAGGGTCCACCTGACACCTTTCCCCCGTAAGGCGAGGATGGATATACCAAAGTTCACGGGTAAGGAGGATCGTAAAGTATATCTGAACTCCTTCCATAAGAATTCCAAGATGATGGGGTGCATCAACAAGGAAGAGTGCCTCCTCTTTTTCCACACCTTGCGAGGTCGAGCGGTAAAGTGGTTCATCAAACTCCCGCGGGGGAGATGGACTCTTTTGGAAAGCTGGCCACCAAGTTCAAGGCCGAATTCTAGGAAAACTACGCCAAGAGAAAAAATTTCACCTATCTCAGCACCGCCGGGCAGAAGGAATCGGAGAATCTCACTCGATTCCTGAGAAGATGGCGGGACGAGGTGGACAAAGTCAAGGAGATGGACGAGAAGACGGCATTATTGCTCCCGTTGTGTGGCCGGCCTCCAGGTCGGGGAACTCTATAAAGAATTCTGGAGGAGACCCCCAGCACCTACCAGGAGGACCTCGGAGTTTTCCGAAGCCAAAACCCAGGACCAGACAAAGAAAGAAGCTGAAAAGGGCCATGACAAGGTGAAGCCTGTCTAGGTCAAGAAGGAGGAGGCTCCCGGGTCAAGTAAACCCAAGCCCTAGTACAAGCCGGTGGTACATGAAGTCAGGGCAGAAGAGCTCCCAAGAACGTTGAGGGCCAAGCCCATGTATGGTCGGATAAATACTATGCATACCACAAAATGGACTCCCACAACACCTCCAAGTGCAAAAGTGTCAAGGGCGTGATCAGGTAGATGATTGAAAACGGAGAACTGGATGGGGAGTATTTGCGCAAGGCGCAAGAGAAGAACCACCAGTGGGTGAGGCCGGAAAGACGAAAGGGCAAGCAGGACAAGGGATGAAAGGATGACCGGCACAATGAGCAAAGATCGCAAGCCGAGAAGGAGCATATCAAGATGATATTCGGCAGACTGGAAGGCGGAGACTCCCCCACGCAAAGGAGAAAATAGGTGAGGAGCATATACATCGGGGAAGTGTTCGTGGATCCCCGGTGGAAGAAAACTAGGAGGGAGCCAGTCTGCAACACCCCATGTAACACCCTAATCCGTCCAAGTCTGCAGCTCCTTTCGGACTAAAGTACTTAACTTGGTAATCGTAAAAATTTAAAACTTTTCAAACACACTTTATTAATCCCAATAATATTTTTCATAACATATACAGTATGGAGTATTCAACAATATTGCGGAAGCGAATTTAATATTGACATATCATAAATCATTTCAAACTTGTCACATCCATCCCGACAATCTCGCCCCATCTGCCGCCCGGATCACATTATGCTTTCTGTTTACCTGCGTGTAGCAAATAAAACACACTACACGCTCAGCAGTAAAGCTGAGTAAGCATATCTAATGCGTCAAACATCCATATATACTGAATCTAAATTCACAATCAAATCATTTGATATCATGCACACAATGTTCATTTCAGTCATTCACAGTTTTGATAATGTTGAGTTCATATCAACACATTTTATTCAATTCAGATATTATTCCGACAGTGCCCTTAAATTATTCTTAATCTAAGGACAGATCATAACAACGCTCTTAGCTATTCTTAGTCTAAGGCCAGATCATAATAATGCTCTTAGCTATTCTTAGTCTAAGGCCAAATCATAATTTCCATAACCAGATTCTTAAAAGGCAATTATTAATCAGACACTTAAACTATCATTAGTTTAAGCCAATTGATTTCGGACACTTAACTGTAGTGAGTTAAGGCAATCAGACACTTAAACTATCATTAGTTTAAGGCAATCGATTTCGGACACTTAACTGTAGTGAGTTAAGGCAACAACAATATAGCGAATGGTCAACATTGGATTGGGCATTCCCAAACGAGTAATCCTCTAGTTTGGTCTACTAATCCCGTTTATGCATTTATATCTAATTCATCAACTATTCATATTTTCATAAGTTCATTCTAAGATCTATTCTAGAGGTCTTCTAGATAGTCTTAACATTACACATCGTTTTCTTGTTTATCAATATATTCATTTTGAATTATGTTTCAATAATTCATAATTATAATTTAATTCAAGATAGTCAAACAAACATATCTATTCATAATTTCATCTTTACAGTTCATTCGTTTAATTCCATACACTATTTTTTTGTTAGAATAAAATCATGATCATTATGTAGTCATAATCACTCGGGTCGTCCATTTGATAATCATAATCAATATTATTATCAATGATAATCCATTATTTCAAAATATTATTATATGTACTTAATATATAATATAAATTTTATTTAACTATAAGTCAAATGTTGAAAACAGTTGATTAGAAAAAGTCAGAACTTGACAAATACTCAGGGACGGAGGTCGTAATTAAAAAATAAGATTCTTCTCATCCATAATCCCAATTAAAAATTTTAATATTAAAATATTAAGAATCGATTATTCTTCTCCCCACATTGATTTTAAAAAACATTAAAATGTTAGTGCTCCAATGATTTTGTCGGGATAGTATTCTCGTCAAGATATAAAATGTTTTATCAAAATAAAAATGGTTACAAATTGGAAATTGTATTTTCTTTGATGTAGTTGTAACATGTAACTAAGTTTCGAGCTTATTAGCTATTGCACCTTGGATTTTTTGCACAATTTCTCTTACTTTTTTGATTATCCTAAATCTTCATTGTCACAAATCTTCTCACGCTCCCCTCCACACTTTGATCTTCTTTTCCACAATCTTCTTTGCATAAATCTGTGTCATCTCATAAAATATCATCCTATGAAGTTTCCATGTACAATTGCGTAAATCAAAACGTAGAAGTAAATCCTCTCTCATTCAAAGTTTCTTAATTTTATGTATAAACATTTTGAATTGTAACACAATATAAGTATGTACTAAGTAAAATGTAAGTTACAATATAAGATTATTTTGATTAAAATAGTAAACCAAGCTACCAAGATAAAGTATAAAAGTCTTATTAAATCTTATTTCTAATTTGTTTATTTTAAATATTCAATATTTTAGAAATAGTCAAATTGTATGGAAATACTTTTATTTCATATCATAATTAGTCATCTTACCATAAACAAAAGTTTTAGCTAGGTAAGATATGCATTGAGTCAATCTCATAGTATACGTATTATCCATTTATCTAAAAGTAGAGTACATAATCATGACACGTATAATTCTCTTAGAAAATAGTCTTAAGTCTTTTAGTCACCTAATTATAAATTATAAATTTCTTTAAGTAATCTCAAAATAGTCTTTTCGAATAAGTTATTTTCCAAAATCAGTGTTATTAAGCATTAATTATCCATGTGATACTTCATAGTTGAGATTTATTCACTTAGTGTCCTGCGTATATGTTTGTTAAATGGATGTTCAGTGGAGGAAATTTAGGTATTTTCAACATTTAAATGTAGAGTAATTTTTTAAAATGACCCTTTCAAATAATTAACCTTTTTCCAATTTAGGTCTCTGTTATAATAATTATAATTTTATCTCAATTGTGCATTTACAGGCACCTTAATGTTTTCTGTCCCTCTATTAACCACTCATGTTCATGGTGGTAAATTTCGAATGAGGATGACCTTTCCTCCGTTCCCCCACTTCATATCTATGTAAAAATTTGAAAAAATTCACGTATGAAAAATACGTGATTCATTTTTTTTAAATATTGTTTTGTTGTATATATCTCATGCGAATATTTTTTTGTGTTTTTTAAAAAGTACAAGGTGTGACTTCAATGAAGTCAAAAGTGAAATACCTATGACTATTTTAAAAATGTTTTTGTAATTTTTCTTTGTCAAAACCCTTGCAACTATATTTGTATTGCTATTTAAAAATTAATTCATTTCAAGTGAAAAAAATTTGGATGTAAAATACATGTGATTATTTTTACGTGATAATTTTTTAAAATTTTATGTGAAAAATGTGACTATTATTTTAGAAGTTAATTTTAAAAATTTATACTATTATTTTCATTATTGTAGAAGTTGATTTTATAAAATTTTTAATCAAAAAAATGAATTTTAGTTCTCACTCAATTGCATAAAATTTCATGTAGGTTATAATTTCTTCAATAATACTCCCTCTGTGTTAGAATTTGATCTTCTCAATTGACTTTTCTTGTCAATTTTGTATAATTTAACCTCGATATATAGAACAAACATGATCTTTCGATAGAAATGCTTTACCAATAACTTCTTTTTGAAACTAAGGAATCTCTTAATGTTTGGTAGCTCCTATTTTGGAGATAAAAAAATCTGCATTTTTATTTTGATATTTTCTCCATGTTTATTCCTATTTTGGTACAGAGTATTTTTTTCCAAAAAATTATAGCGACACTGTACATAAGACATATAGGTCCTGTTTGGCATCAGCGTTAGAGATTAGCTTTAGCGTTTTGAAAAAACTATCTGACGGTAGCCTTTAGCATTAGCATTTTCCGAATTAATCCACAACGTTAATATTTTATCCAAAACGCTAACGCTAATTGAAAACTCTCTTCCCAAACAAGGCCATCGAGAGAAAAAAGAATAAAATCTAGCCTTTGGATCTGATGCATCGTGCGGCTAAGATTGCATCCTGCGCTCAGATTTTGAGATAATGCATTTTCAAAGGATTTTGATGCATTTCAACATGATGCATTTTCAAACCATTTTGGTGCACCTAATTTTGATGCAATCCTGAACCTTAGATCTCACAATCCAAAGCATTAGATTTATTCTTATTTCTTTTATAAGATCGCATTCTCACCAGAACACACACACACACACACACACACACACACATATATATATATATAGGGGCCGGTTCAGGTGAGAAAGCACCTTTGTGAAAGAAATAAGAACAAAATCTAGCCTTTGGATCTGATGCATCGTGCGGCTCAGATTGCATCCTGCACTCAGATTTTGAGATAGTGCATTTTCTAGGGATTTTAGTGCATTTCGACATGATGCATTTTCAAACCATTTTGGTGCACCTAATTTTGATGCAATCATGACCCTTAGATCTCACAATCCAAAGCACTAGAGATATATATATATATATATATATATATATATATATATATATATATAAAATTAGAAAAGAAACCCTCGAAGAAGCTTATAATTCGCTCTCCTAATAAAAATCTAAAATACATTTAATTAGAAAATAACGGAATAAGAATATTAAACATAGTCACGATAACGTCGGGGTGGCCCGATGTTTCTCCGCGGACG